GCTATGTGGCAAACTACACAACATAGGAACTCCTTAAAAGTTCGTTTCCAAGAAACTAAGATGATCACAGAATATATACCTAAAAAGGCCCAGACACTTGAGACAACAGCACAATACTCACAACTAAGTTGGCCACGTTAACCTATAGAGCCTTATGTATTACCTATGCGTCTTACTTATGAAATATGGACTCTGCTCTAAAGACACTTTTTAATTATTGACCTAATTTGGTCAAATAAAGTTCTTAACAATATTCACTTCCATGAGCCAGAAATTCATGGCTTTTTGTCTATATCATTGAAGGAAGGGGGAAAATCTTGCTAAAGTAATATACGCTGATGATTTGAAATAGTTTAATATCTACCATAGTCCCAGATAAGAAATGTGACGATTTATTTCTAAACAATGTGTGGCATGTAACTCAAAACCGCTTTTCATCAATAATTAATATTAATAATTAACGAGTATAAACAACAAAAATACCTCTTGGAAATGTTTCAACCCGGCCCTTTCCTCATTCCACAGCCTGCCTACTGCCCCCCTTTACCCTCTGTGTGGGGTTAATGACTAAACTTCCCTCCTCTCTGACATGCAACACTACCCAGCAGCAATCTTCCCAAGAATGTGTGCACAGATGCACAAGACCGAAAAGAATAAAAGTCTTATCAAAGTCACCTGAATCTGGCAAACACATTTCTAAATTAGCATCTGCGATTACAATCCACTCAATAGAGAATTGGGTTTTCCTCCAGGACAGAAATCCACCCCAAACATCTACGCTCCTGCTTACAGATGGAATGTTTTACGCCTTTAATCCAGGGATTAGCCTAGTAATAAAAATTAAACACTCCTCTAGATAAACATAGCGGAAGGAGACCATAATGCAAAAAAACTGCCCATTGAAAAAGAGGCCAGAGCCACCGTACCAGGAATTTACTTAGCAGTCATTCTGAAGAGCAGTCAGTTGGACTGTTTAAAACGACATGGTTGTCCTTTCTACATCTTGATGGTTTTGCAGCAAAGCGTCTTCAGAGTCAAACACATCTCTTATACCAAAGGTGTTTTCACCATCTGCCTCTTCAACCTTTCCGGCCACCTGCCCTAGCACTTGGCATTTAAATTTGTCAGTCCCCTGAAATTCCTCTCCTCCGGCCACTCCTTCCCTCGCCGAACTAAACACTAGCCAGGTCGTATCCCGAGTTCCTGAAGTTCAGAGTCACGCCGTGTTGTAATTTCTTACAGCACATACAGATTCGACCAGCCCTGACCCCCTTCCTCCACATACCTCCAGCCTCCAGCCTCCGATCCAGACGTGACCATTATTCCTCCTGGAAAGTGGTCGGAACCCCCAGCAAATCACCTCCCGCTTAAGCTAAGTTGTTCATGTTCCCAGGCTGTTTGGTCACTGACATTCAGAAGGGCTGGAAGCAAGAGGCCCTCCCCACTAGGGAGTTCCCAGACCACAGGCAGCGTCTGTCTGCGTAAAGGTGCAGGGATAAAGGTGTTTACATCTTTGTCTTGGCTGGGGACCTCAGACAGACAGCTGTGCAGTGTATTTCACATACACTTCCAGGGCTACCTGCTCCCTGGCTTCACAATGTCCTGGCAGGCACACTCAGGGACAGCTAGGACCTTGAGCAAAGGCTGGTGTGCCCAGAGGAAAGCATCTGACACGTGCAGCCTAAGAAAGTATGTCTCAGGGCGCCTGGGTGGCTCAGTCAGTTAAGTGTCCAACTTCAGCTCAGGTCATGATCTCGCAGTCTGTGAGTTTGAGCCCTGCGTCAGGCTCTTTGCTGACAGCTCAGAGCCTGGAGCCTGCTTCGATTCTGTGTCTCCCTCTCATCCTGCCCCTCCCCTCCCCGCCCCCACCTCTCTCTCAAAAATAAACATGAAAAAAAATTTTTTTAAAAAAGTAAAAAAAAAAGAAACAATGTCTCCCTTCAAGTGGAAACGCTGGTGAAGTCAGCCAGCCCTGCCGCACAAACAATACTGGGCAGGTCATTAACTTGCGTGTTTCAGACGGCGGCGATGAGCTCACCCACCTTTCTGGAAGTGCTATTTTAGCTGCTGAGTTTATACAAATAAAACCCGTAATTTTCTAATGGCTAAACTAGGAATGTGTTCGAAAATAGCTAACTCGCAGAGAACCCTGCAAAAGCCACACAGGGAACTCACGAAGGTGAGCCTGCTGCAGTCTGCTGTTCAAGTTCGCATACATCTTCATAATTGCTACATATGTATTACCTTGACAGTAAGCAACCACAAAGGCGACCCGGGGACTTTTTTTTTTTTTTTTTTTTAAGTTAGGCGGTTACTGCTGCATTGTGTTTTCTCCCTCTCTTTTTTTCCTTTTGCAAGAGAAAAAGTTAGTCATTAACCACACAAAGGAGTTAACATTTAACTTGAACACTGTGAGTGCTTTAGCTCTCGACCCCCACCCCCTTTCTTATTAGAGTGAAAATAGGTTCAGAAAGTCTCTTACTAATTGTCACAGATACTGGATGAGATCTGACTACATCATTTTGCTGGCTGCACTCACAGGAGGCCCCGGGGGTCGTTCATCCACAGGCCCCTCCAGGCTGCCCAGAATCCCTGCCCGCCCCCTCCCACCCCACACTCCCATCGGTGACGGCGCTCTATCTCCCCTGTAAATCCTCAGGTAATGTTATTTTTGCGTCTTCCGTGTTACTGATCACTTCTGCCTTATGTATCAGGTCCGTCGCTCCCCCTACACTGGCGGGTCTGTGAGGACAGACAACATGCCGCCCCTCAGCCCCAGAGTGCCAGGCCTCAGCGCCAGGCACAGGGCACACGCTCACGAAATGTCCAGGGACAGGGAGTGCCCAGACCACGCCCACGCAGTGGGGACCATTTCAGCAGGGGCCTCTCTCCAGAGGTGGCTGGGGGAAAGGCGCCTAGGAGAGTGGTGTTTTATTATTTAAAATAGGGCGGGTGCTGGGAGGCCCAGACATGGGGTGGCAGAGGGGATGTCTCTTTTCTGAAGCCCCTGCATTCCTAAGCTGTTCCCTCTCTCACTCCCCAACTGACAGGGGACCCCTCACTGCACACACAGCCCGCCCTATGGGGGCAGCGACCGTCTGACCAACCTGCCACCTCTTCCGTGAAGCCCCCTATGGAAACAGGAGTCTCTCACACTTGTCGCCCCTCTCCCTGTCCTTAGCCATCCAGAAGCCCCGCGATGGAGGTGCACAGGCTACCTGGATACCCACATGGTGATCAGATTTCCTCACCAAGAACTGATGACACTCTTCCCGTGGCTGCTGCTATTACTACTATTTGCTAATAATAATACACCGATGCATTAAAAGCACACGAAAGCTAATGTTAATGGAAAGCCTACTCGGTACTCGGTAGCAGGGAAGGATGTCTGGCCCTAGGCCTGGATGAACCCATTCACCTCACAGAACAATGCTCAAGACTACCATCCCATGTCACAGAGGAGGCAAACCGGGAGTTCAGAAAACACAGTGACTTGAGAAAAGTGAGGATTCAAAGCCGGTTAGTCCCACTCCAGAAACACGCAAGAACGTCTGAGGGCTCACACGTTCTTCCCCATCACCCTTCACACAACTGGACAGGTCCTACTAAGCGGGGAGGAGAGGGGACAGACGGTCACTGATCCCTCTCCCAACGCTACCACACTCACCCAAACACCTTCGTTTCCACAGGTGAGCAGAGTCAGGAACGACACCTTCAACCGTTCCATGCAGGCTCCACAAAGAGTGTCATGTGTGCAAGCACAAGCAAGTGACATTCTTCTAACCTCCACGGTAGCGGCTAAATGTCTATCATATAACCCTCCTCACTTTCAGGAATTTTCGGGAGATGACGTCAACTTCGTGTGTTCGCTCGTTCATCCGGCGGGTAAACCGTACTAGGTGAGAGCAGGTAACACGCAGATCACAAGAATTACAGCGCACACGGAGGTCTGATAACACGAGGTAAGACCACAAAGCTGTCGGGACACTGAGGGGGAGAACATGATGATAATGACAGTGGGTGGCATTTAGGAACACAGTGTGAAAACACTCGTCGGCATAAATCTTACTACAGGAGGGATTCACTCATTCTCTGTCCCTTTAACAGTGTTGGGTGCACACGACTCATCAGGACATAAATTAAGGATATAAACAGGACATGTGTGTGCACACACGCACCCAGAGAAGCACAAAGATAACCACACCACGTAGCGGGTGCCACGAGAAGCAAATAGGAGGTGCCCTTAAGGGACAAGGTGCTACACCCTTTCTACTAGAAATCAACCAATGCTTAGAGCAGTACAAGTAACATTAAAGGGGGTCTTTTCTAAAATTCTGCCATGGTAGGGGCGCCTGGTGGCTCAGTCGGTTAAGCGTGTGACTCAATTTCAGCTCAGGTCATGATCTTGAGGTTCGTGGGTTCAAGCCCCTCATTGGGCTCTGTGCTGACAGCATGGAGCCTGCTTGGGATTCTCTTTCTCCCTCTCTCTCTGCCCCTCCCCTGTTAGCTGTCTCTGTCTCTCTGTCTCTCTGTCTCTCTGTCTCTCTCTCTCGCAAACATAAATAAAACATTAAAAAATTAAAACTAAACCATGAGATTCTACCTCAGTAACACAAGATTTGATCTTTCAAAACTTCACAGACCTAAAAGCAGAGTCTGATCAGCCATCAACTGTCCCCAGGCATGTGACTGCTCTCTCCTTTCGCTCTGCAGTAAAACCAGTCACAGGAGAAGGAGAGACATGTGGATGTATGGGTGGGTGTGGTCAGTGGTATGGGGACGAGAGGGTGTAGGCCAGAGTCAAGTCACAAGGCCAGGAAGCCAAGCCTCGTCTGTGGCTAAGCAACTGTGTGAACTTGACCAGACCACTTGGGCTAAACCTCCCTGTCAAGCCTGGCTTGGTGAAATCATAATAAATTATCTAGCCCCTGGTGGGGCATAAACCCGATACTCAGTAAGCGTTAATTTTCTTTCGTATACCTGCAGATCACAATGAAAACCCTTCATCTCTTGTAATCTAAAAGACTAACTGTAAACCAGAATAAATAATGAAATCATTTGAAGGACATCCTTCATGAGAAAAAAGGCATCCCTGTGCTCACCATGCTTTGAATGCATAGATTTACACGCCAAGAAAGAGTAACAGAAATCACGTTTCCAACCTCCTTTATCATACGGTGGTAAAATTCAAGTCCAGAGATGGAAAGTGACTTTCTCCAGAACACACAGCCAGTTAATGGCTGAATCAGGACAAAATCCCAGTAATCAGCCGCCCAACTAATTCCCCATTCTACTGTATCCTTCTAGATCCACAGGACTGTCAGTTATAAATGATGCTTAATGGCACCAGTGCCTCTGTGGCCATTAAAAATGTCTCTCACCTTCAAATAAGAGTGAAGATGGAAAATGGGAAGTTCCTCCCACACAATGGGCACTGAATGCGGGACAAAAGTGTTGAGGAAGAGATGGGCGGTTGGCGGAGAAGAGGAGTGAGCACAGAAGAAGGGATCGGGAGTGAAGAGGGACACAGAGGCCCCCTACTTTACAACTGTGCCTAAACAGAAGCCCCCCTTCAGCCCAAAAGCTGAATCTGAAAATGCCCCCAGACGGATTTCTCCTTCCCTCTGTCTAGAAGCCTCTTAGAGGAGACAGAAGACACCGCTCTCCCAGATTAGACAAAATCTATGAATGCTCAGGCGGAAAGGGAAATGAGACTGTTTACCTGCAATAGTTTAAAAGACAGGTTCGGGGGCGCCTGGGTGGCGCAGTCGGTTAAGCGTCCGACTTCAGCCAGGTCACGATCTCGCGGTCCGTGAGTTCGAGCCCCGCGTCGGGCTCTGGGCTGATGGCTTGGAGCCTGGAGCCTGTTTCCGATTCTGTGTCTCCCTCTCTCTCTGCCCCTCCCCCGTTCATGCTCTGTCTCTCTCTGTCCCAAAAATAAATAAACATTGAAAAAAAAAAATTTAAAAAAAAAAAAAAAAGACAGGTTCGGTTGGAGTTTCCTTAAATCCCCTCAACCTTAGGTTTTGGCAGAAGCACTTCCAGACCGCAGGTTTCGGGGGATCCCAAGCCTGCTTGTTTATCCGCCAGACGTGAGCCTTCACAGAACCAGTACCCGGGCTGCTCTGGGACAGCAAGCATCCAGTTAAGGAAGAGGGGCGAAAAGTCTAATTCTAACCTATCAAACTCGACAGCATCATTTTAAAAAAGATTCCCATCTCAAAGAAAGTCTACAAGCAGCGAGTGAGGCTACAAGGCCATGATCGTGTCCCGGCATCGTAATAATTGCGGAAGATTGCCCAATTAGCAATCCCACACTTAGGGAGTTCCATCGTGCTGTGGCCTGTCTTCATCTGTTTTGAGGGAAAATTCTGCCTTCGGGAGTCCGAAATAATGGCAGAACTCTTCACTATGTCTGTGAGTTTGGATGGAGTCCCCAGGGTACACGGCAACCTTGCCTGGTAATGAAGCAGAGAAATCACCTGTTCCTGCTTAAACCTGCTCACACCCTCCACAGCCAGGAGAGGCCCTGGCTGATGTCCTGGAGGAAAGGACAACCTCTGGAAGGTGACAGAACCAGGAGCATCTGGGGTTAGGATCCTCAGTCCTTCTTGAGCCAAACTCTTACCTACAGGCCTCGTAAAAAAAAAAAAAAAAAAAAAAAAAAAGGGGGGTCTAGAAAACATAGAAACATCATCTGAGGTTCTGTAAAATTCTGTTTCACAAGTATTTATGCGATGCCCAGTTCACATGGGTCTTGGACACCTGGAAACCGAACTTCGAAGCCCTCCTCCTCAACCAACCAGCAACACTCTTCTTCCCCCTGCCCTTCAAACCTCCGTTAGTTGCCGCTTGAACAGCTGGGAAAATGCCGCTTCCTCCAACGCGGCTCTGCCCGACCGTAAAGGGTGCGTCAGCCTCAAAAGGCAGAGAACGGCCCCACCGAAGGAGAAGCTTCTAGCAAGCAGAAGTGACTTGGGGACGCTGCGTGAGGCAGAGTTGTGGCCCCGGCAAGAGGACGTGTGGGGGCTGGGCTGCCGGGACACTGCAGACAAGGGAGGGGGAAGGGAGCGGACAAGCACGTTTCTAAAGTCATTGCCAACGCACCGTAGTGGCCTGAGAGGCTTTAAAATCCGGCGTCAGGTTCTCAATGTTTATAGAAGCTACGAGAATTTTCAACACACTCATCCAAAGGCTGCTGTTGTGTGCGCTGATCTCCTCTCCTCCGCTGTGTGCCATGAGGCAGGTAAACGACCTTTTCTCGGCTTCAGATTTACCGTTCACTTAAAGGAAGGCGAGGGATTAAGTAACCTCTCCAGTCCCTTCTAGCTCCAACATTTTCTGAGTAACGCTGGAGTATACTCTCCCCACTTGTTACCAAATTAAATCTCAGGAATTCCATCTACCTATAAGATGCAACAGAATCTGCTAAAAATCCCTACGTGTGAAAAGAAAATTAGGTGACAAGTCACAGGTAAACAGGGCGAAAGCAACAGATTTCTTATATACTCTCGATTATGAGTTTTAAAGTGTAAAGGGAAAAAATTAGGTTAAAAATACCTAGGAATAGCATGTAATACGAAGAAAACTATTTTTTTTCTGAAGACATGAATAAACGTAGACACATACATGTTCCTAGGTGAGAAAACTAAATAGAGTATGTTGACCCTTCCAAACTATTTCATTCTCTTAACGCAGGGCTTCTCAGCTTCTCATTACTGACATTTTATGCCAGATAATTCATGGGTGTGTGTGCGTGTGTGCGTGTTTGGGGGTAACCTGTACATTGTAGGGTGGGGAACAGCATCTCTAGCCTCTACCCAGTAGATGCCAGTAGTCCTCCCCCTGGCTGTGGCATCTAAAACTAAAGTCTGTCCAGACATTGCCAAATATCCCTGGTGGACACCACCCTTCGGGTTGGGAGCCACAACTGATGGCAAAGTGCTAAAGGGCTCTTCCTCATTCGCCACCTTGACGATGGATTCTCAAGTTCACCTGGAAGAATAAAGTCTCCTCGCCGTCCAAAAGGCTTTGGGAAAGAAAAGAAATCTGTTACAGAGCTATGAAAGCGAAAAATGTGGGACACTGAAGGAAGACTACAGGGCTGAAGAGAAGCAGGACAGAAGCAAAAGACCACGACCTCAAATATACAATGACCGTCAGCATACGAGGGCATTACAGACGAGTGGGGGAAAGGAGGTTGTCCAAGTAAACGATAGTGGAGCCAACTATCTATTGTTTGGGGGAAAAACCAAAGCTAACTCCTTATCACACTATGTATGTTCTGATTGTGTACTTACTACATAACAAACAACCCTAAGAGTCGGTCTTTAAAACGACGATTTATTATTACCGCGTACGATTTAGAGCTAAGGTCGACTGGGCTCAGCAGCGGCTTCTCGACTGGGGTCTCTCACACACTCCAGCCCGATGTCAGCGAGAGCTGCGGTCGTCTGGAGGGCAGAGTGCATGGACTTCTCACAGGCTGGCCGTCAACGGGGACACCTCAACACGGCCACTCCACAGGACTTGGGCTTCTAACGGCATGGCAGCTGACCTCGAAGAGGCTGCTCTCGGGCCGTTAAGGACCATTCCTGTAGCGGGCACAGGGTCACTTCTGCCACCCGTTGCTGGCCAAAGTAATCTTGGGTTCATCCAAATTCAAAGGGGGTAGAGAAAGAAGCTCCACTTTGTGAGAAGACAGCACAGCAAAGTCACACCAGCAAAGAGCATACGGAATGGGAGAGATGGTCTCAGTCGTCGGCGGGAGATATGATCGCACAGCCAAACTATACCAAAATAAACTCCAAGCAAATTCAGAGCTAACTACTGAAATATAAAACAACGAAAAGAAAATACGTGAGTTTTTCTTAAATATCAGGATGGCGAAGGCAAAGATAAACAGATGTAGCTGCAAAAATATTTTAGCTCAAAAAGCACCAAAAGCAAAATGAAAAAGCAAACAAAAGACTAGTAATATACTAGCTTTCTATATAACAAAGGGGTGAGGGCTTAATATGTAAAGAGGCCTTACGAATCAATAGTAAAGACGAACATTCCTATGGCGGGGAAGGCCAAAGGACATAAATAGTTCACAAAAGAAAAATCCAGCAGATAAGACCAAAGATAGACACTCTCCCTATTCTGCTACTAGACTGAGTAGGGTATAAAATGTGATCTAGCCCATTTCGTAATACAGTCAAGAGTATTTAAAATGTTCATTTGACCCAGTAATGTACCAACATTTTAAAGATACTTGTGATAACACGGTTTTAACAACAACAGCAACACAAAGCAAACTTGGTTAAATAGAGCACACTTCCCACACACACAAAAAATTTCTGCTGTACTTAAAAACCCTATTTCCAAAGAGTACTGAAACTCATGGAGGAAAGTCCACAGCAATGTAAGAAAGAGAACACAAAACTTTATTTACATATTAATCATCGCTACTATCCATTGCAAAATAGCCACACATGTTTATCTCCTAAAATATTAACAGTGGATATCTCTGTGTCTGGGGAATACTGGAAGGTAATTTTATTGTATTCTCTGGGTTTTTTTTTTTCAGTATTTAAATATTTTTTGCACTGTAAACATGTTTATTTTTATACTCAGGGGAAAAAAATGTTAGTTAAAGAAAAAAGTACCAGTACCAGTGGGTAAAAAAACTGAAAAGGTCACATGTTACAAAGTTACTGCTGCAAGAATAAAAAGCCAGTTTAAAACCAGGAGAATAAGCACGACAGGGCAGCCAGTGACATCCGGGGTTATCACACCTGGAATCACTGACCCATTACACAGCCCATTCCGTCCACAAACGAGTCACTTTCTCAGGCTCCTGACACGGTCATGGCGTAGATTCTCACATATTTGTTCAATGTGACTGTTTGATACATTTTTCTTTTTCCTCTTTCAATATTCAGCCCGTTTGTTTTCTTTGCAAAGCTCAACATTTCTGTCTTCAGAGGCATCTCAAATGATGAAATACTGAAGAAAAGTCGGTACTCACACAGGAAAACATTTGCCTCTGCTCTTCTTTGGTTCAGTTTGCCCCCCTGAATGTCAGAGGGTCCCGCACACGTACAGCCTATATTGCTCCTTCATTTCACGAAGGAACCGTGCAGATAGTGACTCCCGAGTCCCTTGGCTCTCAAGCTGGAGCATGCATCAGAATCCCCCTGGAGGGCCTGTAAAAACACAGAATACCGGCCCCACCCTCAGAGTTTCTAGGTCAGTGGGTAGGCGTTTATCTGCAGTTCTAACAACTTCCCAGGTGATGCGGACGCTACTGGTCTGGGGACCCCCACTTTGAGAACCACGGCTCAAGATCACATGACCAACTAAGCATCTTCCCCCCAGGTGTAATGTCTATTCATTTGTCCCTATTATTCACACAAGAATATGTATGTGTGTACACACACACACACACACACACACACACACACACATATTGTATTTGCTGACACAATGAATCACTCACAACCCAAATAAATCCCAGGACCCTTCACCCCACATTCAGATGGAGGAGTCCTTTCAAAGAAACACGCTTTTAGTTTGTTTATTTATTTTTGAGAGAGAGCACACAAGTGGGGTAGAGGCAAAGAGAGAGAGAGAGAGAGAGAGAGAGAGAGAGAGAGAGAGAGAAAGCCCAAGCAGGCTCCACACTGTCAACACACAACCTGATACACAGCTCAAATTCACAAAGCACAAGATCGTGACCTGAGCCAAAGGTGGACGCTTAACCGACTGAGCGAGCCACCCAGGTGGCCCCCAAAGACACAAACTTCTGCGATGCCTATAAACGTCACCTTCTCTGCCACAGCTGTCTGCCACTCCCCTTCACAGACCACTCTTCCCCCCTTCGGCAGCCCAAAGCCTTCCTTCACTCGTCCACTCCCCCACAAAACAGAATGAACTCTCCCCAGGGTTCCCGAGAAAATAAGGTTCTTTCCTCCCTTCTATCCTGCTGTTCTCTCTCAACACAAACTTACCTGCTTCCATTCCTGTTTGACTCTCCTTACTATGCGCTTATTAAAAACCCCAAAATAGGTAGAGGTGGGGGGGGGGCCCCAGGGGAACCACAGGATTTCTTTCTTTTCAAGCAACACTGCGTTGTCCTTCAAGAGCCAGAGGGGAGAGATGCACTCAGTCACACAATTAATCACGTTTGTCCCTGTCACACTCCATCCTTCCACCCATTCAGTATACACTTGCCACGTGTCTGCCATGTAACGGGCCCTGTGTCAGGGAATCAGAGAACCTGCAAGCGAAGGTGGGCTCATCTGAGAGGGCACAGGGACAGATGGGTGCTTCATGGACAAACACATGAGCTGGCCTGAATGGTGTGAGTTCAAATCTGAACCTGGTGTCCCTTAAAGCCCACTGGCAGATATGCGACGCATCTTCTCCCAGAGCTGAATTTCTCTGATTTCACCCCATTAAAAAGCAGACATCCTTGTGAAGGGCAGGTCCTTTAAGTCGCCAAGGGTCCCACCTGAGTGAGAGGTAAGTTTCAAGCCCTTACCTGCGAAGAGCGGCCCTGGATCTCTTAGAGAAAGAAGAGAAATGTGTTGGTTTTGTTTTGTTTTGCTTTTAAGGAAATAAAGAAAATAGGATGGGAATCGAGAGGGTACCTGA